TCCTTAGTGATACATATGTATCTATATATGTGTTAAAATGTATCTGTAAATTTATACATTTCCAACCACCAAAGACCAGTCAAGACGGGATTTAGGAAGGGACTGGCAGTCAAAGGGCAGTAACACATGTTGTCCCCGACTTACTAAGGGGCCCCATTCTGACAACACCAGGGCTGGTGGAAGTCAAATACTTTTTTTTTTTCCAATTTTTCATTAGTATGGCCTTCCATTATCAATATCTTTATAAGTTTGATCTTTATGTGTTTTGGGGGTTAAAAGCACATAAACTTACAGATCTATAGCCTTCTGGTTAGCAGTCAAATGCCTTAGGCACTATGCCACCAGAGCCCCTTTTAATACACACATACATATTACTAATAAGACATAAGGGGGAAAAAAAAAAAAGAAGAAAAACCCCAGGCAGTTGTAAATGTGAGTCAGGGCCTACCTGTAATGAAAACGAAATATCTATCTATGTATGTGAATGAGAGGAGCTCTGGTGGCGTAGTGACTAAGGCACATGACTGCTAACCAGAAGGCTGGCGGTTCAAACCCACCAACCACTCCTTGGAAGAAAGATGGGTCAATCTACTTCCGTAGTGATGCTGCCTCAGAAACCCAAGGAGGGTCGCTATGAGTTGGGTCTGACTCGATGGCACATAACAACAGCAACAACAACAACAACACGTGAATGAGGTATTCAACCTACATCAGAACCGACTGATGTCAGAACCCACGGGCAGTCATGGGAACCCTATCATGGGTCAAGGCCCCCTGCACCAGAGCAGCTGTCACAGAAAGCAGAACAGTAGCTGTCTGAATAGCAGTCACCAAAGTGCAGGAGTGAAGACCTGAAGGGCCATCCCCTGAGAACACGGCCCCTCCCCCTGAGAGCGGTCCCCTGAGAACATGGCCCACCCTGCTGTGGCATCCCCCAGGCCCTCCCCCCTGAGAGCTGTCTCTGTTTTGTTCTGTTTGTCGTTGAGTCAGAATAAATGTTGCCTGGCCTGCCCGCCCTCCATGATGCTTGGTGTGTCTGGGCCATTCCTGTGGCTGCTCTGTCCGTCCATCTCACCAAGGGTTCTCTTCATTTTGCTATTTCACCAAACACGAGGTCCTTTTCCACAGCTGATCTTTCCTGATGGCCGAAGTAAGCGAGCTGAAGTCTTGCCTTCTTCACTTCCAAGGGGCATTCTGCTTGTATTGCTTCTAAGACTGTTTGGTTTGTTCTTCTGGCATCCACAGTATATTCAGTAGTCTTTGCCAACACCACAGTTCAGATGCATCAATTCTTCTGACATGCATGGGGTCATTACCTTGCTTTTTAAAATATATTTCCTTCCTATGCAATCATCCCTAAACAATATTGGTTACTGTTTTAGTCTGGGTTCTCTAGAGAAGCAAAACCAGCAAAGCTTTATCTATCTATCTGTCTGTCTGCCTATCTATCTATCATCTCTATCTATCTATCATCTCTATCTATCTATCTATCTATCTATCTATCATCTATCTATCTCAGAGAGAGAGTGGAGAGAAATTTACCTCAGGGAATGCCTCACACAATTGTAGATGTTGGCAAGTCCCAAGTTTGTGGGTCCAGCATCAAGCTGGAGGCTTCTCCTGACTCTCGCGGCTGCAGAGGCTAATGAGCCCAAGACTGGCAGGCGGTACACTAGGCTGCTTGCTTCAGGGGATGACAAGCCCAAGGTAAGAGGACAGATTGTTGGCTTGCAGGCTGTGAAGAAGCCCAAGATTGGCTGGCAATGTGGCAGGCCGCCGATTCCGCTCCAAGAACAGGATGGTGATGAGCCCAATGCAGGCTGCAGGTCCAGCAGAGCCAGCGAGTGTCCTCAGGACGCCCGCGTATATATTGGAAACAGGCCACACCCCTGAGGAAACTCCTCTTCAGCTGATTGGCTGCTCACAGCACATCTCATCATGGAGATTACCTTACATCAGATCTCACCACGGGGGTGACTACAGCACAACTGCTTGCTTACGCCACCTAGAGTCATGGCCCAGCCCAGATGACACGCGGCCCTCACTTTCGGTCATTTTGCCTGTTGTTGGCCTTTATACGAATCGAGTTGAACTGCATGTATTTTCCCCTCAGTTGATGATTTGATCTATTCTAGCACCTGAAAACATTCCCTTGCTGAGTCCCTCTCTCACTGTCTTGAGTCTCTTACGTCGTATTAGTCACTCATTCACCTCTTGCTGCGAGTCACTCTATTGTGGTATGGTAATCCATTCACGAACCACCATGCTGTGCTCAGAAGGTCTAAAACACTGCAGACATTGAACTGTGCACCCGAGTGAAGACTGAGGGAGACCAGGCAGTGCTTCATCGGAGCCAAGATGCATTACGGTAAATAAAGGG